TCTGACAAATTAATGCCTCCCCCTTTCCACTGCCAGGGGTCTCTTCTGAAAAATGTCAGAATCAGCAATAGTTTCCCACCTTGTAGTGTGCTAATACAACCCTTCCTCCTGACATAGATATTATTGGATGTATTTTAGGCCACATTGTAAAGGTGTGATCCCAGTTTGTAACAAGTCTGTGAACACCAATTTCAATTAGTTGTTGCGACATGTAATAGTTTATTTTGTCTTGTTAATTACCCCCCTCCCTTGTAAATTACTATGGTGATTTATTCCTAGAATAAGCTGTCCTAGTGACACTTAGTTATGAAAATCAATTATCACTTAGCTCAGTGTAATGCATATTTGCTTGGCAACAGACTTATATAATTACCTCACCTAGCGTTCTTAGATCTTTTTAAAACACATCACGATTAATTTGAAGACTGATTATTTTTATAGATTTTGATATTTTAGAACAAATATCAACACAAAAAAACAAAAAAAAATGAAATTTCAGTTGTCAGACTCCTACTTCTCATCTGCCAGTTGTACTCTTTACCATTGTTGCTGTCAGGGAATTGTGAATGCATAGTATCAAAATGAAAGCTGAATGCTTTGCAAAGGGAGGTAATTCCAAGCCATTGAAAAGCTTTAAACATTGCTTTATCTTCTAATTTATTGTAAATGAGAATGCTCTAGGTTGAAAAAAATATTGAAATGAAAATCTCTTGCTATCACTTGGTGCAGTGCTACCCTTTACCTAGCCAACTTAACGAGGACAGATTATAGATAAAGTTAAACGCACCTCCTAGACGGGGAACAATCTTGCACCAATCTTATATAGGTTGATATCCCTGTCATGGTTTGCGGTAAAAGTGACACTCGATTGAAACCAGGGTGACGCAACTTACCTGAATTAAGGTAGATGCAAGTGTTCTATAATGATCACTGGCTATAACTTTTTTACCTGTGTGAATGAATTATATGCATACCTGGTGTACCTGGTACAGGTAAGCATAGGGTCAGAGGACAGGTACGTGGGTTGTATATATACCTGTCAGGTGACTTGCACTCCAGGATTAACCAGTTTAAATTGAGCAAGTGTTGGGTAATGGGTAGGGGGATGGTGTTATAAAGATAAATGTTGACGGGTAGGTGTAAACGGAAGAAAGGATGTGAGGTGGGTGGGAACAATAAATCTGTTGTATGTATTTCATCACGCTGTAAGTTCTATATCCTAAAAAGTAGCTTAATATCTCTGTCACTGCCTCAGAACTGTAACCACATCAGATATCTTCCAGTATCTGTCACTGCCTCAGAACTGTAACCACATCAGATATCTTCCAGTATCTGTCACTGTCTCAGAACTGTAACCACATCAGATATCTTCCAGTATCTGTCACTGTCTCAGAACTGTAACCACATCAGATATCTTCCAGTTTGAACTCTGAGTAGTCCTATGTCATACCCCATTGCATAATGTGTTCTGTGTCTTTCCTTATTTTGTCCCTACATCAACTGCAAAATCTGTAAAAAAAAAAAAAAAAAAAAAAAAAAAATTTTTTAAAAAAAAAAAAAAAAAAAAAAAAAAAAATTATTTAGAAAATCACAAACTGACGTCAATATTTACTTTGCAGTATTGTATGCATATTTTATTTTTGGCATTAATGTTAGTTATAATATTGGTGCATGATAGGATTTTCACATTTTTGTAAAAACAATTCTTCATTCTTTCTTTTTTTATCATAAAAGTACCTTATTTAATTGATAACATTGTAATCATCATCGTTGTAATCATCGTTGTAATCATTGTCATCATCATCATCATCATCGTTCATTTGATTTGGGTTGGTCTACCTGGAATCTGGAAGCTCCAAAACCCAAAGTTTGAGTGTGAACCAGCATCTTTCATTTTACCTGAATCTTGTCCAATATTCATCACAACTGAAAATAATATAAGAACTTAGATTGAAAAAATTTAAGAAATTTTTTTTTGCAGATATATTGTGACATAATAAGATTTTTTTATTTTTTTATTTTTTATATTGTACATTTTTGCCGGCTGTGCTGGATTTTAAGCATGTTTTTGTGAAGTGGCAGAAGCAGTTTAAGGGAGGCTACTCAGATTAATTCCAAAATAATCATTAGCAGATTGGCTTACAGTGGATATATAATATATGTATCAGTGTATTTTGCATGTTATTTTATCATATTTCTATTTTAAAGCCATTTTAGATTGCAATTATTACTTTTCTATAAATTGTGTGTGTTTCATCAACTTATCTATCATTTTGAAAAGTCAGTGGTTTATTTAGTATGTACAGTACTTTTTTTTATTTCTTCAGTTTATAGTTTGATTGTAAATCCTTAATTCAAATGATCACATTATTTAAATCTTCAGTTTATATGTAAATTTAAATCATCAGTTAAGATGTTGTTTATCTCAATAAAGAAATAACCTTATAATAATTTAGATCAGTACAAAAGTAGACTTACAACATCATCTTGGCATTAATTGCTTAAACGTAAATATTTTACTTATTACATGTCTTGTAGATTGATAAAATAATAACTAGCCAGTATATATGACTGGTTGTTTGTATACATCATATTAACGGCTCACGTCCCTTGCAGTTGCGCACACTAATGATTTACAGTTGTCATTAGAGTTTGAATGTGCTTTACCTACAATATTTTGGTTCATGTTTTATTGGCAAACAAAACAAGTTAACTATACAATAAAAGTTAACTATACAATAAAAGTTAACTATACAAAACAAGTTAACTATACAGTAAAAGTTAACTATACAATAAAAGTTAACTATACAATAAAAGCCCTTAAAAAAATCATGCTCAGTTTCTTAAATGTAATCATTGACATTTTAAAACAAGTATAAAAACAGAGTATTACAAAACTCAATAATGTATTGCAAATATCTTTTTGGGCTCTTTAGGGATAATTTCAGCAAATTACTGTTCAAAGTTTAAGCACCCATTTTATAAAAATGGTTAAAAAAAGTTAATAGTTGATAACTAAAAATAATTAAAAATTTATCATACTGATATTTTTATTGAATGGTTGAAGATGAAAGGAGATTTTTTTTTATCTATCATTTTTTGAAAATTCTCGATTCAATTAACATAACTTCAAATTATTGAATAGGAAAATCCCTGTTATTCTCACAAAATGCAATTTTAAACTTTATTCATGGCTAGGAATTATAACATATATGCAAAACAACCTGAGTTAACTTTCATTGATCTATGGTCTCACAGGTTGTTCAGACAGAAAAGTAATCTTTGCTGTACAAATGGCTTAATAAAATAATTAAGATTTAATTGAAATGTAAAACAAAATATTGTACCCTAGCGTTTGTTGAAATGGTCTGTCTTAAAGTGTCAAACAATTCAAGTCATTGATATTAAATTAATTCTCCATGGACTTAAGTAATTTAACTGATTTAAAAGTCATTTTTCTCACATCAACGAAAAAAAGAAAATTCTTTCCTAAAAACCCATCCCAAAATGTTTAATAAATCTAATATGCTTTTAATATCAATAACTTATATATAATTTATATCTATATCTATATGTGTGTAATTATATCTTTATATCTATATGTGTATGATATATGTAAACTTTCTCTGACTACCAAATATTTATTTAATGCTTAAAACTTAAGTTGTGTCTATGTACAGTAAAATTGAAAATCCAAGCTCTACCAAAGACAAGTATCCGTACATGAATCACAATTATTAGTTACTTACTCTATCTATATATAACCATATGTTACTGAGTATTCACTTGAATGTCTACATGCATGACACATTTCGTTAATCATAAATATTGTTTCAAATGTCTTTGTCTGGTATTTTGAATTCAACCGTTCCTCCCCCGGATAAACATGTATAAGAGGTTGTTATGGGTGAAAAACAGTATGATCGAAAATACCAGCACGAAACGTGTAAAATTCAGCTCCTAATATCCTAAATTGATAGAGAAATTACAGTTAGGCTATCTTTGAAAAATACTTTATCAGAATATTTATGTCAATAAATTTAAATTTAATAAATAAACTTCTAATTACCCAATTGTTATATGTATGACTATTTATAACTAATTCTTTTCTTTCATTTAAAAATCATCAGCCATATCATTTGGCAATGTATCATTAATCCTAAAAAAAAAAAATCCTTTCTCTTCATTAAACCATTTAAATGACTATTTAATTTTAACAGGCAGGATTTCATCTCACCTATTCCGTCTTTTCGTATTGCAGAGTTATCTGCTCTTGTGAGCAGGTATTGATTGTTACGTCATTAGTCTGTATGAGAAAATTAGGTCGTTTTCTTAAAGATTAATGTCGTTACTCTCACAGACAAATGACCGTTGACGTAACAATCAATACCTGCTCACAATAGCAGATAACTCTGTAATACGAAAAGACAGAATATGCCTAATGTAGCTTTAATAATTAATCTGTAATAATTAATTCTTAATATTCTGAATTCTGATCTCACCTTAGATAACTTAGAAGTCTTTCGTGTATTATGTAGGGTTTATAAACTGTTGTGATAAGTCTTTAATCAGTCTTCTGTAATTTGTTTGTTAAAAAACAATCTGAAGTCAAAGGTTAAGGACTCTTAAAGATGCACTATTACTTGAGGTTAAAGGTCAACATGACCTACAAGCAAACAAAATTAAAGATTTTTTTTAAATGAGTAAAAGTTTGATTTTTTATTTGTATATAGTTAAGTAATTTTTGTCTTCATATTTCTGTTTTTCAAAATTTGAATCACTTTTCTTTTTAAAATAATTTGCTAAAGTTATATGTGCAGATTTGACTTTGGTTTTACATGTTCAAATTTTTTTTTTCACGTTTTTATTTTTCCGTTGCCCCAGGTTGTGGCCATGCACTTGGGGTTGGTTTTTTCTTTGCTCCTTCAGTTTGTTGTAGTTCTTTTTGTACATTTTGAGTTTGATAGTTGTTTACATTGCTGTATTTATATCTATTTCAGTTGGAAAGCTTCTTCACCCTTCCCCCCGCGGAACGAAAGTTTGTCCCAAGGCCTCAGCAAAAACTGCAGGCATTACTTGATGTATGTTTCAGGTTTATTTGGAACACTGCATTAACTCCTGTCTGCAAATCTGTCGCATGGCAGAATAAAAAACCCTTCTCATCCCTCAACATCACAACAGCTAGAACTCCTTTAAAAGGTGTAAGGCCTGTTGCAGAAAGTTGAGAATGAGGAAGTTTTATCACAATGAGTGCATGTGACCTGGCTAACTATGGAATCTTGCAAAGTTATGCTTCAGTAATTATCAGTTATCGACCTTCAAAACATCTCCCTTAATTGTTTCAGTAATTATCAGTTATCTCCTTTGAAATTATCTTCCTTGGATCTGTAAAAATAACTGGTTTAGAAACTTGATTAAATTTGAAATCAAATTTAAAAATAAATAAACTAATAATTTATTTTCTTGTTCCTTGATAAATAATATCTGCCAAATGTTTAGATAATTTTATTTATTTTGTAAATTCAGAAAAAAACCTTTCACAAACCTGATTTATTATTGAGCACAATAACTTTTCGAATTTCCTGTCCTTGAGTAGATGAATGAATGTTGAAGACACTCGACTAACCACTTACCTAGCTAATCTGTTAAAGTTTGGTAATACAGAATTATAAGCAACTGAGATATCAAATATTCATTGGAAACTTTGTAACATATATGGGGGAGGGGGTATATTCTCAGATTTTCAAAGAAATTGATATTTATATAAAGCTTCATTTTACTTGATTTTTTCAGATGCTTTTTAAAATTATTTTTTTCATCATTATTTTTAAAACAGTATTACCACACTTTTTTTTACCTCAAAATGACCTGTGAACTCTATGACCTTCATATTTTCTTTATTTTATATAATCTTCCTAATTATCTTTCTGGAAAAAAAAGTTATCTTACCTCACACAGGCAATCCAAAATTTGATTTTAAATAGAGAAAAACGTTTTTCAAAACTTCATATGATTCACAAGAATTTATTAAATATTTTACATGAAAATATAAAGAACAATTTCTTAATGATCTCCCTTTGTTCAATTAAAATCCTGCATAAAACATTATCATGCAAATCTAACTTGCTTTAGTTGCATTGTTTATTTTCAGATCGTATACAGACACAAATGGTAAACCTTGTGTCTTTATATGATATGAAAATCAACTACCACGCAGTAAGTCTAATTATAGATAAATGAGCTAACTAACCAAAATTTGTTTCAGAATCTATATATACTGCTTAAAAATACCATAGCTGGTCCACAGACAGCATCTGTTAAGTGTACAAGCCTACATTTTAACTTGTGGGGTCCCACGTTACTGTTTCTTTTTGATTTTGTGAAATTGTTTCAGGATCTTTAGGTCATTAATTACAGATGTCATTTAGGTGTCATTTGAGGTCATTTTGAGGTCACTGCATACCAGCCATGCCAAAGATTACATGCTTGTGATACTTTAGTGAAAAGTTTTCTAGCTTATAAACAGGTCTGGTCACTCCCCATTTCTGATTAGGTTCCCAGTGTAAAAGTCAGTCATTTGAACCCTAATATAAGTTCCAAATTATTTTCTGTCACATTTTTGTTAAGCTCAAAAATGCAAAATATATTTTGATAATAGTCTATCAGATTTTTTAAGTAATAGCAATAATCCTTTATAAATAAGTTCTCAATTAAATATTATCGGGAACAATCACCCTTAGAAAGGATAATAGAAGTACTGCTGTACAATCATGTTTTGATTGCCAAAGTGAACACAGAATATTAACAATTTACGTAGATATATTCCATTTTTTGGTAGTTTTGATTGAGAGGCACAATCAAATCATAATTTTCTTCATAAAGATGTCCATTATTATGCAAAAATCTGGTTTAGTGTAAAAATAAAATAAAAAAATGTCTACATTTGTATAGAGACCTGAGATTTTCACATGTCTGTGACCTGTTTGAAAGCTAGGAGATATTGAGATTAACCAGTTTTAGAAACTGGGCTAAATACAAGGTTTGAAGTGCATGTGTACTTGTATGCATATTTGAATTGAATGTTCAGTGTGTGCTGCTTTTAATGAGTTGTTCCCCCTTTGCCAGTCTGCATGCTTGCTTATTTCCTTTGTATGGATTGAACTTCAAGTAGTTTGCTAGTCAAACAGAAAATCACTCTTCCACCAATTATTTGCGTTTAAATTTCAGCGCCAGATTTTACCTAAGGATTTCATTTCTGTCACATCACTCATCACAAATTTTGAAGAAAAGAATTTCACTGAATTCACAAATTTATCATTATAATGGATTCAGTATATGCTTGTTTTTTAATGTCTTATGTTCCAGTCTTTTTCTCTCAACAGGATTAGTTCTAGTTTTATTTTTCAGATTGACTATTTTTCTACACAAAAACGTCTGCTTCTGTTATGTTAACTCATTCACCCCTACATATTTAAACTGGAGTTGTCCAGTCTTTGAATTGGTAAGGTTCAAATAGGACTTTTGGGGTGAATGGGTTTGCAAGTTATATTTCAAAGCATTACTGATGATCAAAGGGAGGTAACTTGTACAACATTAAGACTGAACTTTTTGATCAAGCTACTTTCTCTGACACCTACATCTGGTCACTGCATGGGTCTAAAATTGAAGTTTTTCTTCTGGAAAAAATCCAAATTTGGTTAAATGTTAGACATATGTAAATATACATTAAGCACTAAAATATTGATAAGAAATTTTTAGTTAATTAAATTTTAGATGTTGTTCACTTTCTTGTTGCTTGCAGAAATTAATGTCGCTCGTTGAAAAGTGAAATTAAAACTATTTTTTGTAAGAGTTAATAAAATAATTATTGATGCACTTAGATTTTAACTAAGAGAGGAAAACATCTTTATATTTAAGATTAAAATGTTGTTCACAATCTTGTCGCTTTTAGTAATTAATGTTGTTAGTCAAAAAGCAAAACTAACGTTTATTTATGTAACATATAACTTTGACATAGTAGTAATTGATGATTAATGAAATTAAATTCTCACATCTTTCTGAACAATTTATGTACTGTATGTAAATATTTACATGGATCATAACTTTCTAGCCAGATGAGACAGTAATAAGCAAGCATTGTTCGTCATTTTCGATATTTCAATACAAATGTAGTACCATTTATAAGCAAAATCAAACATAAGCAATAATTTAAGAATATTAACTATTAAAAAAAACTGTTATTGTCCAAGCTTTGACAGTTTAAGGATGTGTGCATTTGGCTTATTCAAATCAGGACCAATTTTCACAGGTATAAATTTTACCCTAAGAAATCAACGTTCAAAATCATGACAAAAGTCAGTGTTATATTTATAGATATTTAGGTCTAAGTTCTTTTGAACATCATTCAATTTCAAACATAGTGGCAAGTTGATATGATAAGTTTTAATCAATGTAAAATACGTTATGTCAAATTAAACACAATTTTCTGGTGAACAATACAGGTCCTTTTGGCCTCTTCCTTTTGTAGTGAAATCATAGGTTGAGTTGGTGTGTTTATTTATATACCGCATTGTCACATTAAAATTATACAGCGATAATATTTCATATCAAATGTAGAGTATTCTCTCCATATTACCTTTTCGTTTGCAAACTAGGTCATTATGACCTTTGTTTTGACCTCTGACCTCAATACAGTTTATAGGTCACTGCAGTTAGGTTTAATTAGCCTATATTTTTACCTGCAACTTTAATCAAGGCAAACTTGTTCCAGAGCATTCCACTTAATGTACGTACTAGGTACGATCACCTTTGGCATGTGGGTGCTGTTATGTACCAAAATACTTCATCGCAAATTACATTTTGACCTCTGACCTCAATAAATATATATAAAAAAAAATGGCCAGACGATGTCTCCAGTACTATTTCATGTTGAATCATCAGACTTATTGTACAGGCTCATGTAGCAAAGACAGAGCATCATTTACCAAAACTAGGTCACTGGGACCTTACTTATCAAAACTAGGTCACTGGGACCTTTATTTTGTTCTTCAATTAGAAAACAAATTTAACACAGATTGAAAGTGTGATGTCAAATGGAAGGTCTCATTTTGGCTTTGCTGTAGAGATATGTAACCTGTAAATCAATTTTGCAAAAAGTAGGTCAAAGATCAAAATTTAGGTCAGAGTAACCGAATATCTGTACACACCACAATGACCTCCCCAATGCTGATCAAAGGTGTAAGTTTGCATGATCCTATATGAAAATTCCATGAATATTTTCAGCTGTGGTCTACCTTGGAAACAAAGTGGGTGTATCCACCTAGTCACTGCTTCGGGTTTCATTTGAGTATTTGTTGGATAATTTGAATTGCATATTATTAATTACTCTCAGAATCTTTACCAAAATTACCAAAATAATTGGAAAGCTAGTTTAAAATGATTTCTCTTAACCCCTAATTTTGGACTGGGATATTATTGACACATTCTAGTAATCTATCAGCGGTGCTGGAAGGTTAGAATTAACAGGAATTTAAACTTATATTTATAGCATGTTAAAGATTAAATTTGGTACTAAAATGTATGTTATTATCCCACAAGAACAAGCATTCACCATTTCTGTGTTAAACTTGATTAAGGGTCCATAACTCCGTTTAATAAATGACACTGTCTACGATCTTAGATCTTATTACGGATTATATATATATATATCTGGGTAGAAAAATGACCCAAGGTATGGGTAACTATAACATAGTGTTTACATCACACTGTCTACGATCTTAGATCTTATTACGGATTATGTATATATATATCTGGGTAGAAAAAATGACCCAAGGTATTGGTAACTATAACATAGTGTTTACATCACACTGTCTACGATCCTAGATCTTAATACTGATTTTATATATATATATCTGGGTAGAAAAAAAATGACCCAAGGTATTGGTAACTATAACATAGTACACAGAAAAACATTGTCAGTATAGCTCATCTTACCAATCATTTAAGACAAAGTGCCTGGTCAGGAGGACCGTGCACTGTTTTTCAGGCCACACAGGAAGACCGTGCACTGCTTTACAGGCCACACCATGAACAAATCATATTGACAAATGTAACATTTAAAACAAAGTGCCTGGTCAGGAGGACCGTGCACTGTTTTACAGGCCACACCATGAACAAATCATATTGGCAAATGTAACATTTAAAACAAAGTGCCTGGTCAGGAGGACCATGCACTGTTTTACAGGCCACACCATGAACAAATCATATTGGCAAATGTAACATTTTACCTTTGACCAATAATGTTACTGCCATGGTTATTGAAATTAAAAAAAAAATCCCCATTAATTCTTTTACCACATACCCATTAATTATTGTTATGCCTTGCGAATGATTCATTCTGTGATGAGGGCCGTGTCGTTGATGCCCCCACTAATCCTCACAACATTTTACAGCTGGAGAGAGTCTTCAGTAAAGAGCATACTGAGGTTGGGAACGAGCCGATTAACCGGGAGAACACCGTCGCTAAAGTATGTTTTCCAGCCTTCCTGTGATGTAACCCCGCCCACAAGTGGTGATGTTTTCCCGTAGTTTCTCACTTAACATTTTTTTTTATTCACTCACACCTTTTTCCTTCAAAACCTTTTGCTTTTGTCTATTAACCTTATTTTTTGTTTTGTTTTTAGCTCACCTGGCACGAAGTGTCAAGTGAGCTTATGCCGTGGCGCGGCGTCCGTCGTTCGTCTGTCCGACGTCTGGCGTCAATATTTTACTTTAAACGACCTCTTTTTAATAACCGAAAGGCCTAGGGTGATGATATTTGGCCAGAAGCAAACTGGGATGAAGGGCTACAAAGTTTGTTGAAATTATTTACCTTCACCCATTTTCAAGGTCACTGGGGTCAAATATGTTAAAAACTTAAAACATCTTCTTCTCGATAACCAAACTGCCCAGGGAGATGATATTTGGCCAGAAGCATGCTTGGTTAAAGGGCTATCAAGTTTGTTCAAATGAATGACCTTCAATTATATTCAAGGTCACAGAGGTCAATTGTCTTAAAAAAACTTTAAACAACTTCTTCTCAATAACCAAAATGCCAAGGGTGATGATATTTGGCCAGTAGCATGCTGAGATGAAGGGCTACAAAGTTTGTTCAAAAGAATGACCTTCACCCATATTCAAGGTCACAGGGGTCAAATATGTTAAAAACTTTAAACAACTTCTTCTCAATAACCAAAATGCCCAGGGTAATGATATTTGGCCAGTAGCATGCTGAGATGAAGGGCTACAAAGTTTGTTCAAAAGAATGACCTTCACCCATATGCAAGGTCACAGGGGTCAAATATGTTAAAAACTTTAAACAACTTCTTCTGAATAACCAAAATGCCCAGGGTAATGATATTTGGCCAGTAGCATGCTTTGATAAAGGGCTACAAAGTTTGTTCAAATAAATGACCTTCACCCATATTCAAGGTCACAGGGGTCAAATATGTTAAAATTTTTAAACAACTTCTTCTCAATAACCAAAATGCCCAGGGTGATGATATTTGGCCAGTAGCATGCTGGGGTAAAGGGCTACAAAGTTCGTTCAAATGAATGACCTTCACTTATATTCAAGGTCACGGGGGTCAATTATGTGAAAAACATTAAACAACTTCTTCTGAATAACCAAAATGCACAGGGTGATGATATTCGGCCAGTAGCATGCTGAGATGAAGGGCTACAGAGTTTGTTCAAATGATTGACCTTCACCCATGTTCAAGGTCACAGGGTCAACTATGTTAAAAACTTTAAACAACTTCTTCTGAATAACCAAAATGCCCAGGGTGATGATATTTAGTCAGTAGCATACTAGGATAAAGGACTACCAAGTTTGTTTAAATGGATGACCTTGAATGATATTCAAGGTCACAAGGAGCAAATATGTTCAAAATATTTAAAGAACTTGTTTTGAATAACCAAAAGGCTCAGGATGTTGATATTTAGTCAGTAGCATGCTGGGATCAAGGACTACTATGTTTGTTAAAGTGAATGACTTTGACTTATATTCAAGGTCACAGGGGTCAAATCTGTTAAAAATCTTTAAACGAACTCTTCTGAATAACCATGGGTCCCAGGATGTTGATACTTTGCAAGTTGCATCTTGAGATGAAAGGCTATAACATTTGTTCAACATAATGACTTTGTTCGACTTTCAATCACAGGGGTGAAATGTTTTAAAAAAAAATAAAAGGTTCTTTTGAATGAATTTTAATCATAAATACTGATATTTTGCCTGTAGCTTTATTTTAGATCACTTTTAAGGTTACAAGTGAGAGATTTCTACCAGGTGAGCGATGCAGGCCCATTGGGCCTCTTGTTAATTTTGTGTAAGGTGCATGGTTACTATATTTATTTTGTAATTTTTCATATTTCCCCTTTGCACATATTTATGCTTATTGTATACACTGACAAATATAATTAGCTGATATTATGGACCATCTGGTTGTAAATGAAGAACAATTCAATTTTTTTAATTTTTAATTTTAACTTCAGATTTTAATCAAAATACCAGCGGTAATATGTAGAACACAAGTATCCCCTTTTCTCTTTCTGTGTCTATACTTTCTATAGTACGAAAGAAAAGTAGGTTATTCTTAATACTGCCCCATTCTCAGTATATATGAAATAAAATAAATACATTTGAATACTAGGGGTAGTTTCCAGGACACTGTAAATTAGTTTCAAGGGTACAATACATGTATTATTTCTTTATAACTAGAAATTGTGTAGGCATTTCTATTAAAAAAAGATAACTTGAAATCAATTGATTTTTGAATTTTCTTATTTATCTTCCTTGAATTTATTTATGTGAAATATTTAACCCAAGAGGTTTGATTTGTGATTTTGTTTAATTATTTGAAATTTGTAACTCAAGAATTTTCGTTAGAAGAAAACCACTAGTCCTTATGTGACAACGGTGACCTTGATATTTCATAACTGGTCAGAGATGAGCTGTCAAAAGTCAAGCGTTTCTTTGAATTACCTCCCTTTGAAAAATTGTCACGTTTGAGGAAAAAGAATAATTATATTTCATTATACATACCTATGCTGTGTGAAATACTAATCAGCGAGCTAGAATTAGTCATTTTTACCTGTCTTCCCTCTCCTTCATCCTTTAGATTGACCCACATGTCCCTGTACGGGGGCCGATAACCTTAATTTGTAAAAAATAAAATTCCATTCATGAAATACTAAACCAAATGGAATTAAGCTTCAAATTATTATAACAGACTGCAATTTTGTTGCACATATTATATATTTGCATATATTCATTCTTTCAAAATATTATATGACATTGATGAAAAATATATTCGTTGCAATGAGACTTGAATTTGAATACTAATCCAGTACTATATCAAGCATATAAAAGTATATTTTATGTATCATGGCATCGCTACTAAATACCTGGCAATGAAAAAAAAAAAAAAAACATTTTCTTAACTTTGCACCAATTTTATATACTGGAGCTTGTGAACATTATCTGCTCAATGCATATTTGTGTGCAAAAGAATATTATTCCATTTATACCAGATTGATACTGTATATAATAAGACAGTTTATTTGCTTGTCACTAATATTTTGTTGCTACATAGCTGTTGTGATTTTCACTGTAGTTAGCACAATAATCATGCATGGTTGACGTTTCACAAATATGCAGCAATTCTTTTTTTGGCTTTTTCATTGGTTCATTGATTTATTTTAATTAACATTTTGTTGCCTATTTTTATATATTTCAGATGAAAGAGGTTTGTATTTGAGTCTATATATATAACTTGTGTCATGCATATAGCATAATAAAAAAATGTGTGGTTATTATATATAGATATATATATATTACAATTATATATTAGAAACATTAATTTTCTACAACTAAAACCGACACTCGTTCAGAAAGATTTGTCCCGATATGTGGGGTTTTTTTTATCTTCGGGTGAAAATATGACACTCTTGATGTTTATTGTTCAACACAGAATAAATTTGAATAAAACTAAAATTAAGTATAATTTAGAAATACATTATACTTGGTTTGTGCATGCCGATGAAATATGACAGCAACTTTACGTTTTCCTGTGACCCGCTTTATTGGGTATAGCCGGCAAACTTTTACGTTCCTGCTTTTCATGACTGACCTCAGTGACTGTTTCATATCAGTTGTTTTTGATGTGCGTAAAAATGCTGATGTACGAAAAATAGCATATTAATAAATTATGTTCATGCAGTTTTCATGGTTGCTCTTCAGCAGAACACATTCATCTATAAAAACTGTTGTCAGAAATGAATTTGAAAATTCTTAAGCTTAAAAATCTCCGGTTGTGGCAAGAAAATCAAAACAAGTATAAGGTCAACATATAAAAAAATGATGAATAAAGTTTTAAAAAAAGTGGACTTGATTTTCAAGCAAGTGAATGATGTGTTAAATATAAAGATCCTTTGTTAGTAAGCTAGATGCATCTGGTTGATAACAAGGTTTTGTCTTCTTCTTTTTTTTCTCAATGATTTTCTGTCATTTCGTTAATTTTCCTCTTTGGAATTAAAAATATATATAACAATTACTTCCAGCATCATAGTTAATTAGATTTGGTTTCTTTCCATTTCATTTCTTTTACTGTTTTAAAATGGTTTTAAAGATTTTATTGTTAAGGATATATGCTTTGATTATTGTGACTTGACTACAAACACAAAAAAGGGGGAAATGATGGTAGTATTATACTGTTAAAGTACTCTGAAATTGTCGTTTTATTTTCCTGACTAAGGAAAATATTATCAGTTACTGGAATATTTTGAATAGCGACAGTGAGTTAGAAGTTTGTGTTTCCCTAATTTGTCCAGATTTGTAATGAGTTGAGCTGAATATCAAAAATAACTCTTTTCAATAATGCATGTTTAGGTCGTAAAAACTTAATCAGAAAAGTTCTGTGTGGAGATTTAAAAATTGTATCTATTGTTTTTGCATCATACATTTGTTTAAAATAATATTGCGCTGTATTAACCATTTGAAAACGATACCATACATGATAGAAATTCTCCCAGCTTGGTACTATGAAAACAAGGAAAGAATTAGGCAGTCTGATTAAATCAAGCTTGGATGTGTGTCACATTATCGATGTAAAATTTGTGAATAATTCACATGAAAAATTGGTAACAATTATTCGAGTAAAAGATAGCTATATAGCTGTTTAGAATTGATATAACTTAACATCATCTTGAAATGCCATGTAAGTTTCATAGTGAATCGTAAAATCAGAATTAAGCTTAGGGTCTCCTACCATTGCCAAAATCTGTAAATATGCATTAAATCAAATATTGTTAAACTTGACTTATAGCTTTGATAAAATCAATACAACAACCTTTTATGAATCAAAATAAAGAAGAAATGAAAATCAAAGTAAATATAAGTGTTAAAATGCAGTGGAGTAAGGATGGGATTTGAACCAGGGATCTGCGATCATTGTACTGTAATCGTAACCGAACTGAGCTGGTCGACAGTAGTACCTAGAGTCATGCTATATTTATATCCAAAACAAAGTAATGGCAAGTTACTGCATGTATGAAAAATAACAGTGGGCTTCTAGAGATCCTAGTTTCAAGGACCATGTCAATTCCGAATCCTGAATAAGCCCCAAAAAAATCATTTATTGTTATTCAATAATACTGAACTTTTGTTTTGACACTGGTCATTTCTACAATTGTTTTATACAATGTTGAGGTTCAGTGGGTATTTTTCGTTGAGTTTCGATGGGCCCTTTTTGTCTCTCTTTTGGAAGAAAATATACCAATTTGGAAGTAGCAATCTGCAAATTTTGGGAATCGGGTGTAAAAAGGAAATAGTTTCAGTTGGGAATGGGTCCCATTATGAGCTCTAAAAAGTGCCCCCCATCCCCCCAAAAAGCACTGGGTAAATAGCATGTTATTATGCGAAGTATGTTGCTGTGGCATGGGGCTAGATATATACATATCTAACTATACATATACACAAGTGTTGCATGGGTTCAATAACAAGCAAAGAAATGGTCATAAGAAATGAAAGCCTGAAATGAATTGATTATCCACTCACAGTGAGGGTGGTCTTGAAGGGATATTAAGGCATTTGGTTTGTTTTCATATTCACCTTTTGTCGTCATTATAGAAATTTTATTTCTGAATTGATTTTGAAAATATTAGTCAAGTGTGAGGATATCTCAATCAAGTTCATGTTTCAGGGATCAAGATCAAGGTTACCATTACTACCTAAAGAAAATGTTGTTGTTGCTCTAGTGACTTAATTTGGGAATAGACCTTCACATATTAGTCAAGCACAAGATTTCCTAAAGCAAGTTCATAAGGTCAAGGTCACACAAGATTGGCCAAAAGAAGTTTCAAAGGTCAAGGTCACACAAGATTGGCTAAAGCAAGTTTTAAAGGTCAAGGTCACACAAGATTGGCCAAAGCAAGTTTCAAAGGTCAAGGTCACACAAGATTGGCCAAAGCAAGTTTCAAAGGTCAAAGTCACACAAGATTGGCCAAAGCAAGTTTCAAAGGTCAAGGTCACACAAGATTGGCCAAAGCAAGTTTCAAAGGTCAATGTCAATATTGGTTTAAACATATTTCCAAGGTCAAGGTTAGCCTTACTATTGATAGAAGATACTAACTATCAGGAAAGTTGCTTTTGTGTGTTGTATTACTTGGTTTACTGTAAGTCTTAGATGCATCCAACACAAGATATAAAATGTCTTACCAACATGCATGCGAGGGGCTTTGGATCCTTTGCAATGCCTTGTGTTTGCCAATGTAAGTGTAATATATCATTCACTATTTAATATAAGGCTACAATTTCACATACATGTGTTATTGAGAAAGTAATATTTTGATCATACATGCAAAGATAATGATAATAAGCTGTCTTGATCCAGATACTGTTCAGCGATATTGCCATATTGTCAATATTGTGTTTTAAGCCCTAAACGTTGGATGTCTAACGAGTATGATAATGTCTTGCCTTAGTTGAAGTATGTTGTGTCTTAAAACATCAGAATTTAAACAACAGAAGTATTTAGGGTAACAATAATTAATACTTGTATTGATTTTAGAGTTAAAAGTAAGGTTTCAAATGTCTCTTACAAGCATCCAGCCGAGTGAGCTAGATTGAAACACATACCTACTCACATTGAATACAGAAACATTTGTGCATATTTTGTTATTTATGTTAATTGTTTAATATGGTAGTGAACTTACTGATTTCAGGCAAATTTTTGTTTGCATGAAATGAAAACATGCTTGTTTAAATTTTGGTAAAAAAAAATGAATTCAGTTTCAAATTTTCATGGGTTTTAAAAAAAACACAACAAAAGAACTAAATTAAATATACAAAAAATAACTTCTTAAATTTCTAAAATGGATATATTTGGATCTAAGGTTCTTTACAATGAATGTTATACTTTTTCCTACAGGTTGATGGAATGGGATGTAGGGTTTACCAAAATGTATTTCCTGCAAAAGTATATAAGCTTATATCCTTACTGAATGTTTTAGTGCTAGAATTCAATCCAGGTGAAAATCAATTTTTATAGTAGTATATATATGTTGGTTATTGAATAAATTCTTTATTGAAACTCATTAAGAAAATCTGTGTGAAAATTGATTAATCAATCAACTTTTTAATTACTTAAAAGGATATTTATTACCTTAAATATATTTATTGTATACTGGAAAATTTTGCTGCAGTTCAATTTTTCGCCTTTTTCACCCTAGATGAGGGTGAATTCATTATAACAGCAAATACATGTTAACTACATAATATGCATAGTAATTACGAAATGTGAAGGGCGAAATTAACGCTGGGCGATATTTGATTTTATGGGTGAAGTGTGTAAGTTTCATGGGCGAAAATTTCCTCATATATACTGTATATCCCTATTTAATTCTGTTTATCTCTACCCTCTTAACCAGGTAGATCTGTTTTTTCTTATGTCTTTGTTTTTTACAAAAAAGAACAATTGCTGATGTAATATGACTCTTATCAACAAAATCTCATGATATTTTGTATCATATAGTATCGGCTGTTGTGTATGAAGCAGCGTAATAACACTTTCACATAGACAAATGTATTTTAGATATCAGCAATTGTGATGTCAGTTGGTACACTTTATTGATGTCAATAACCCATAGTAGAAATCAAAACTCATCGTATTTCCTTTGAACATAAAATACATTTTCTATTTTATTACTGAAATTATAAAAACTTGATAATTAATTGAGTATTTAGCATAGCCAAAGAAGTTAAGTCAGTTATAAATGAGCACCTTTGCATTGACAGTAAATAAGGGCATCAACGTCATCAAGTGAAACAATAAATAAAAAGGGTGTGGGGGGACAATGAAGTGTTACGTATATATACATGTTATCATGGTCTTGCATTCAGAATGTATGACTTCATCATAATGTACTGAAAAGCTGTCTAAGGTAGTTAGTATGTGAATTACCTGGTGATACTATAGAATATAGAATCTCTCATCGTCATTTGATCTTAAATGTATTGTGAGGACAATATTCACCCGAATAACAAGGAATTGGAAGAAAGCAAATTATAAGCTGTTTCATTAAGTTTTGACGTTTTTCAACCAAGTTTCAAATTAAGATAAAGCTGATAATGTATGGTAAGAATCATCAGTTAATAAGTTTTCATAATCTTGTTTGTTGTTCTTAACACCTGATAATAGCTTAAAGATAGTCACATCGAAACCATTCTCATTTATTTATAAGTAGGTTCCACATGTATTAATTAATTATATTCTATATATGTAGAATCAGATATTAATTTGATAAAAGAAAACTGAGAAGAAAGATGTATGTTGATGGCTGTGTCTAGAAAAATCTCTCATTTGATTAAGACATATATTGTAAAAAAATCAAGTCTTTCAGTTAAATATTAAATACTTGGATAATAAAGGCAAAATGATATTTTTTGTGTGATATCTGTTTGTAAATAAATATAGATATAAACTAGAATCAAAATAGTTATCAAGCTGGTTATAAATCACCTTAATTAGTGCAAGTTAATTAGTAAGTCTTTGTGTTTGTCAGAGTGTTGACCCTGTGCAAGACACCACCCTCCTCATCCACTTCTTTGGACCCAAGGGCAGACAGGTGCTCAAGTACGAGGACTTCCACAGGTAAGAATCTTGGCTAAGGATTTACAGCGACATGCCGCATATGTTACGTAATACTTCTTTTTTGTCTCGCCAAGACGAAGTTGCGGAAGCAAGACTTAGGTGTTGCTTTTCCGGTGACAGCAGCAACAGGCAAGACATATCACTGAATTGCTTGTTATAAAGAATTCAGTCTTCCGTGAGTGTAAGATCTTATTTATAGGGCTCCTGCAAACTCAGCTTCTCAGACTTCCAAGTTATTCAGATCTTCAAAGAACTATTGATTACTGTCTTTAAGAAACTTTCAATCAGTTTGGAAATTTCTTGAATGTCCCAAGTTCTAATGGTCAGGAGAACTCTGGATCGTTTCAAATTCTTTTAATTTTTTTTATCCAAGATTTGAAATAGAAACGTCCAATTTGTGTGTAATTGTTTTCATTTCCTTATGTCAGATTTATGGAAAACCTTCAGTCGGAGGTGATTGAGTTGGAGTTTATGGAGTTCTCTAAAGGCATGGCCACCATCACAGAGGAGGATTTTGCACACATACTTCTACGCTACACAATGTTTGACAAGACGGACGTCCAGGCCTGCATCACACGTGTTAAGGAACGCATTCCTGCAGTACAGGTAAGTTGTCGTCCAGGCCTGTATCAAAAGTGTTAAGGAATGCATTCCTGCAGTACAGGTAAGTCTGTCGTCCAGGCCTGTATCACACTTGTTAAGGAACGCATTCCTGCAGTACAGATAAGTCTGTCGTCCAGGCCTGTATCACACGTGTTAAGGAACGCATTCCTGCAGTACAGATAAGTCTGTCATCCAGGCCTGTATCACACATGTTAAGGAACGCATTCCTGCAGTACAGATAAGTCGGTCGTCCAGGCCTGTATCACACGTGTTAAGGAGCGCATTCCTGCAGTACAGGGAAGTCTGTCGTCCAGGCCTGTATCACTCGTGTTAAGGAACGCATTCCCGCAGTACAGGTAAGTCTGTCATCCAGGCCTGTATCACACATGTTAAGGAACGCATTCCTGCAGTACAGATAAGTCGGTCGTCCAGGCCTGTATCACACGTGTTAAGGAGCGCATTCCTGCAGTACAGGTAAGTCTGTCGTCCAGGCCTGTACCACACGTGTTAAGGAACGCATTCCTGCAGTACAGATAAGTCGGTCGTCCAGGCCTGTATCACACGTGTTAAGGAGCGCATTCCTGCAGTACAGGGAAGTCTGTCGTCCAGGCCTGTATCACTCGTGTTAAGGAGCGCATTCCTGCAGTACAGGTAAGTCTGTCGTCCAGTCCTGTATCACTCGTGTTAAGGAGCGCATTCCTGCAGTACAGGTAAGTCTGACGTCCAGGCCTGTATCACTCGCATGAAGGAAGCACATAACCCTAGTGAAAGTATGTAAATGTCCTAGGCTGTATGACATACATCAAGGAACTCATTTTCAGGACACTTTATGTCAAATGCCAAGGCCTGGGTTACACATAAAGAAAAGTAAAAGGAATGGAAAAGTGCACAGCAAAGATTTGGAAGGAGGAGGAAAGTAATGTAGTGGGACTGGACTGCTCAGTAGCTCAATTGGTAGAGTGTCCATCTAGATTCCAGATGGTCCCTGGTTTGAATCCTGAGAAAAATGCACAGCCAGACTGAAATTAGAATTTAGAACTCGAGACAAACTCTCTACCAATTCAGATACCTGTTCCAACGACGGACCATGTGACCAGATCTTCTACAATTGTGCACTTGTGCAAAAACATTGAACTTATGGTGATGTAATACCTCATTATCAGAACAATTAAAAAACAAAAATGCACAGCAAAATTTAAGAAAAATGAGGAAGGATTGTAGCAGAACTGGACTGGGTCGACTAGGTAGCTGAATTGGTAGAGCATCCATCTAGATTTCAGAGATTCCCGGGTTCAAATCCTGGTCACTGAACCAAATGTAACAGGAGCAGAAAAATGCACAGCCAGACCGGGAAAAGAACTCTAGACAGACACTCTACCAATTGAGCTACATGACCAGCCAACGATCGACCCAGTCCAGCTCCGCTGCACTTGTACAAAGACAAAAAAAGCTAAACCATTGAAATATGGTAATGTATTAGCTCATTATCAAATAAATTGAAAATAAAATTAATAAGAAGTTTGTCTTTGTAATATGTTGTCTGTCATGAGAATAGGTACATGGAAAATCCTAAATCTGAAAGTGTTATTTCCATTCTTCATAGCTGCTGCTACTGATTCGTTTGCTCCTAAATATAGTTTTCAAATGAAACTACACCCCAGGTAGAGATGAATATTTTAAGTAATGAAGAATTTCTCTATACCCAGAGATTGAAAAATCATAACAACTGATATCCACTTTACACTATGGAATTTATATAATATCCTGTATATATAAAGACTGATGAACTTATATAACATGTTTGTCTCCCCTTATAACATGCTTGTCTCTCCTTACAGGGTATCACATTCGAGGAGTTTAAACAATTTTGTCAGTTCCTCAACAGTTTGGATGACTTCACGATTGCCATGAAGATGTATACATTTGCTGATCAGGCCGTGTCCAAAGGTAACCAGACAACAACTTTAAGGATCCCTGTACCACTGCCAAAAACTGTAATAAAGTATTGGAAACTCTTTCATCTGGCTGGAATATAGCTTTGTTCAATCATTTCTGAAAGAAAAAAAAGCTGACCTTTAAAAAAAAGAATAGAGACGAAATTAACATAATATAATCAACAAACAATTATTAAGCAGGGATAGACTGGATTTGAACCCAGGGCCCGTATTCATTAAACCATTCTCATGCTCAATCATGGATTCTGTGCTGAAACAAGCTTTCTTGTAACTCACTTGAATCATGTTAAAAGATCCAACAGTCAAATGTAAACATTGAAAACAGTATTTGGCTTTAAGTCTCTTCCATTTTTTCCCCAAATCATTGACAAAATAAGGTTTGTTTATTGATTTATAACCAGAACAAGAAATTAGACTTGAGCAAAAAATCTATGCTTGAGCAGGAGAAAGGTTTCATGAATATGGGCCCTGGACTTCAGATTGTTGCACTATCGCACAAACTAACTGAGCTTCATGGTCTATGGATGTCACCTGGCCCAATGGTATTTTGTATTTGCCTGACATTATGATGTTTGACCTTGATTGACCTTGTTGTATGTGACCTTGACTGCTCTTGTTATATTTGACCTTGGCTGTTTGTTTTGTTTTACCTAAATTGACCTGGTCATGTTTGACCTTGACTGATCTTGTCATGTTTGACCTTTACTGACTTTGTCATGTTTGACCTTGATTGACCTCGTTGTGTTTCACCTTACAGAGCAGTTCCAGAGAGCTGTTTATGTTTGTACTGGGAACACACTCAGTCCACATCTAGTGAACACAGTGTTCCAGATTTTCGATGCAGACGGAGACGGTCACCTCAGCCACAAGGAATTTATTTCCATCATGAAGGACAGGCTGCATAGAGGATCTAGGGTAGGTTGACGGCTATTAACTGCTATTTGATAATGTACCTCAATTTCACATTTAGGTTATAAGAACTGCTGCCTCTATATATAAATTGTGGGATTTGTTTTGGTCATTTATACATTCACGCTTCAGTCATACCACATTCTTGGACATATTTGAGATTTCAGAATTGGGATATTTGAAATAATTCACCTTGATATTGGCCTGATTTAAAAAAAAATACTGCAATTTTTTCAGTAGGTTTGAGGAAGATTTAGAATCCCCATTACGAAGTAATCTATGATCTTCTCCCCTGATATATCTAAGTGTGATTACCTTCCCTGTTAGTTTATGGTAGTATTACAGCGTACATTATCTGTGATTACCTCCCCCTGTGCTGTAGTAATAACAAAACTCACTAGTGTCTAGACCTAACACATGTTGTCAGTCATTGATGTTGTTTTTATTGAGCTACATTCAGTAGTTTGAGTAGAACCGCTGTGTTTATGAGTAGCTATAGCTTCATTTCCGACCCCCACCCACTCTATGTGTTGTGGAAAGATTGTTGACAGTTCAATGTTGTAATTTCATTGGCTGATGTACAAGTTAGTTTGAATCGCCTCATCTTTGAGATATTGAAATATGCTTAAAAGAAATATGAGCAATTTGTTGGATAAATTTAAAAATAATTAATGCATGAATGTTTAAATTATCTACCATAAGTAAAAAATATTACTGTGCTTGCAAAAAAACATAAACTTTTGAACAGGTATATAAATAACTTTTGCTTGATAGAATTAAATCTTTTACGAAAGATGTACATTGATTTACAATATTTGTAATTTTTATTTTTTGTTAATTTTCAAATATTTCAAGTATTTTACTAAATCTTTATGAGGATTTTTGGCATTGATATTTCTAAACTAATTTCTTAAATTTTAAATGCTAATAATTTTCTAGATGAAAATCTGATATTTTTTGTTAAATAAAAATCATCAGAGCCTTAATGGGTTATCTTTTCAATTTTATAAACGTGTTAATGTATGTATAATATACACTATCAAAGAACCCTTTTCTTTATACATTACCAATGTTCACTCGTAGTTGATGTGTCTGTATGAATTGATTTTCAGTTGACAGCGGTATGTAATGTGTTTTAAATGCCGAATCATTCATGCTGATATATAATTTGTTTAATACAACTTTCCTATACCTCTTTACCTAATTTTTTACCAATTTTCCCAACCAGAATCAAGTCAACACCTTAAAGGGCCTTTTTTCAATAATGATTTCACCATTGGTCTTGGTAGATTCCCGATTTTGTTTTCACAATTTATTTCCCAGCATGCATTGAAGTTATTCCTCTTCCTGGTGATTCCAACATGGTTTTCGTGGTTATTTAGCTCACCTGGCACGAAGTGCCAAGTGAGCTTATGCCGTGGTGCGGCGTCCGTCGTCCGTCCGTCGTCCGTCCGTCCGTCCGTCCGTCGTCCGTCCGTCGTCCAGCGTCAATATTTTACTTTAAACGACTTCTTCTTAATAACCGAAAGGCCTAGGGTGATGATATTTGGCCAGAAGCAAACTGGGATGAAGGGCTACCAAGTTTGTTCAAATAAATGACCTTCATCTATTTTCAAGGTCACAGGGGTCAAATATGTTAAAAACTTTAAACAACTTCTTCTCAATAACCAAACTGCCCAGG